TCCAGTTTTGATAAATTCCCCTCATTGTAGTTAGCGGTCACTGTCAGGGCAGCTAATTGCACTGTATCTATTTTTTTGTATATTTTGTACAGGAGTTGCTCAACCAATTTTTTTTCATCCTCTTGCAACCAAACCCAAAAACAAAATTAGTAATATATTGTAACCAGTCCTTGGATGTGTTGGATGCATTAGTTTTCTTTTTTAGGCTCCCCACCTTTATTTTTAAGTGCTGATCCTGCCAGTAACACACTTCCTGCTCCAGGGTGACAACACTCACTGTACTGTATCTATAGAGGAACGGTGTTGGCTCCCTAAGCTGCTCTATTTGGACTACAAACACGTCCTCCTCTCTTCATATCCATGCAGGTGCTTTGCAGTTCACAAAAGATTGCTGATAACATTGTTTGAGATTTCAGTTCTGCATTTTGCAAAAAGCACACAGAAAGTTACAAGGACTCTGAAATTCTATCAGGATCAACAGGGATTTTTCTGTACTTTCATAAAATGTACTGAGCCTGAACAAAAAAAATGAATGCAGCCACCAGGTCTAATGACTAGAATGCTGCAATATATGAAATTTTTTGCCCTTGGGTTTAGTTACACTTTAAAGCAGAACTTTACCCACCAGATGGAATTTCCATTAAAAGAGAACTATGGGGTAAGTGTTTTTCCCCATAGTTCTCGTTAGGGTCACGGGAGGACATATACTAGCGTCCTCCCGTGACCCAAAGCTCAGTCTATTGCGGGCTATTGCCTGCGATATACTGTGAGCGCCGCAGCTAGGACGGATCCCAACAATACTGTCGAGATCCACCCAGCTCCGTGAGTGACAGCTGGCTCTGCCTATCTAGGGGTAGAGCCAGCTGTGCCCGCCCCCTCCTCTGCCCGTTCCTCCACTCAGCGCTAGAGGATTGAAGAGGGGAGGGGTGAATCCCAGCGGGGTGCGGTGACTGACAGTCATCCCTTACTGCAGGGAGACGATCGGGAAGTGAGCAGATAGGCGGCATGTTTCTACTCACTTCCCGATCGATAGAGCCGACCTGTGACAGCTTAATTGTCACAGGTCGGCTCTAACAATGAGGATGAGTGGAAATCACTCATCTCATTGTTCTCCTTTAGTTTTATTAGTTTGCTTCTTTCAAAGCTTTCTGTCTTCCAGGGAGGAGGCCTAGCGTCTTGCCCTTAGCAATGCTACTCGAGATTGCACAAGGCATGCGCTACCCAAAAAAATGGGCTGAAAATCTCGGCTTATACTCGAGTATATACGGTATCTCATTCTCAACATCAGTGATAGACAGAATTGAGGAACATACAATTCTGTGATGACCTAAGAGGAAGCAGAAGGGCATCATTAGATCTTGTGAGAACTGTGGTTCTGTAATAGTCACATGTACATATATCTGTACATACTGTATTAATGAATAATCGGCTGCAGCATGGGGGAGGATGGTGGCACACTCAGTGGTGTATCCAGGGTATGGGACATTTGGCACATGCCCTGGGTGTCACTTGAAGGGCGGGAGCCGCTCCGTGGAAAAGTTTTCTGACCCACAAAGACAGCTGACTTTTTTTCTCTCCCTACCCCTCTCCCATACACATCTCCCCGTCCAGCTCTTAGCAACCAGGGACGCTCTGCCCGGTGTCCCGCCTAGCTCCTGGCAACCAGTGACGTCACTAGTTGATAGGAGCTGGGTGGGTAACCGGCGGCAGCGTCCCAGGTTGCTAAGAGCCAGACTGGGAGATGTGTAAGGGCCATACACATCTCCCCGCCTGGCTCTTAGAAACCAGAGTGGTGGGGAGACGTCTATGCGGGTGGAACCCCTGCCAGAGCGTCCCAGGCAGGGAGATGTGTATGGCCCTTACACATCTCTCCATTCAGCAACCTGGGATGCTCTGGCCAGCGTTCCACCCAGCACCTTGCAACCAGCAGCATTACTGGTTGCCCGGAACTGGATGGTACGCCAGGAGTCCAATTTGCTGTAGATACACCTCTGGGCACACCTCTGACTTTGGGCCATGCATCCAACACCTTGCCCAGGCTAAATGCAACACAATATGAAGAAAGATGATCCACCAGGGCCAGATTTTACAATCAGTGAGCATCTGTGAAAACATCAGCATACAAACACAATGCAAACAAACAGCCTTTGACGCGTTTTGGATGACGTACTTTCTGCTTATGAGTAATCACAGCGTACGAAATGCATCAAGGCTGATTGCTTCCACTGTGCTTAAAGCTTCCTGGCTTTGAACTCTGGTCAATATGGGTCTTATTTCTTGATAATGAATGGTAGTTATGGACTTCTGGTGTCTGGAGAGCAGTACCTTGTTTCCTGAAACAACACAAGTGAGTGCTATCCATTTTTTTTTAACTATTACAAATTTCAGAAGAAAGAAGAAAGCAGAGCAATACAGGATACAACAGAGCAATACAGGATACAACAGAGCAATACAGGATACAACAGAGCAATACAGGATACAACAGAGCAATACAGGATACAAAACACACCAATGAACAGAGGACACTCTCCAATAAAGCAACACATTTTATTACAAACTCAGCAACGTGTCTTTAACTGGCAAAAAGACAGGAGTGAGACTATATAGAGACCAAGACTGGCTCTCACTGTGGGCAAGAGCAGAAAATTATGAGGTATAAAGGGTGGACCATAGTTAGTAAAACATTAATAGGGGTATAGCTGTAAAAAATAAATCGAGGCAACCGTACTTGCTGTATTTTTCTTGAAGATGTTTCACTCGTCATCTGACCAGCTTTCTCAATTCAGAATGACCTGTACAAAAATTCTCAGGAAATAAATATGGTGAATGTTGTTCCAATCCACATAATCTGTTAATAGTGCTTGCAGCATTTTTACCCCACCGCACCCGAACGCACTGCAGGCACCATGTGCCTTGCGATCGCATTGCGGCCGAAGGGCGTGGCTACGGTGCCATTCACTTCAATGGCCCACCACGCCCCCTCCTGCCAGACAAAAAAGTGAGCCGGCCCCAATGCGGGCAGTGCGTTCTGGCCAGAATCGGACCAGAACGCACTGCTTATGGTGTGAACTAACCCTAAGCCCTGAGTCCAGTAGATATGTGCGATTCGTTTGGGAAAAATTACTTTTTCGGACGAAATTCGTTAGCGTTAGTCTGTACGCATTTGCGTTTGTAGACGAATTTTCATTGCAGCAAAGTGACATTTAAAAAAAAAAAATGAAATGAAAGAAATTATACAAACATGAAACGGAAATGAACATTCGTACAGACTACCGCTAACGAATTTCCTCCGAATCCCGAAACTAATTGACTTTCGGACCAGAATCGCGAAAAACGAAATAACACAAAATCTGAATCAAAACAAAATGAAACTAAACAAATTTTTTGCCGCAGCACATGTCTAGTGTCCAGCGCGTCACTTATCCCTGAGTTCAGCGGGTCACGAAGCCCTGCGTCCAGCGGGTAATGTAAATGTGGGGGGGCATTAGAGTGTAAGCTCCTCTGTACAGAAACTGATGTGACTGTGGCGGAGGACATCATTAGAGTGTAAGCTCCTCTGTACAGAGACTGATGTGACTGTGGGGAGGACATCATTAGAGTGTAAGCTCCTCTGTACAGAGACTGATGTGACTGTGGCTGCAACAACTAATCAACTAAGTCGATTAAAATCGATGATGGAAAATGTTGTCAACGTTTTCCATCATCGATTAGTCGGCTTTCGATTAGTTGCCCCACACGCGCCGCACGCTTCACACCACACCACCCAGCTCTGAGCTCTCTCCCGCTAGATAAATGTATTGCTGGGATTTGTTGTATTCCTCTATAGCTGATGGTATATTGCGCTGCATATTTACCATCAGCTATAGAAGACCACAAATCCCAGCAATACATTATACACTGTATGTATATTGTGTTGCTGGGATTTGTAGTCCTCTATAGCTGATGCCATTCTGCATTCTTTGCTGTATACTTTTACATTTCACTATATTGCACACCACACTTTCTTTTTTTTCTTTTTGCTTCCACCGCTCCAAGCTTGACTGACGTGATTGTCTCAGTGTTCTCTGTACAGCCCTGCGGTATATGTCAGAGCTTTATACATGTATAATCATAGTGTGTGATTGTGGTGGGACATTAGAGTGTAAGCTCCTCTGTACAGAGACTGATGCGACTGGCTCAGTGTTCTCTGTACAGCATTGCGGTATATATATGTCAAAGGTATTTAAATGTATAATAATAACAGTGTGACTGGCTCAGTGTGGCAGCGGTACGGGAGGGGGGGGGGTTTGGGCGCTGCGGCCGTGTAAGGGGCCCCGAAATTTCTGATGACTGTCCTGCTGCTTATATCTGAGGTGAGAAGGGTCTTCTCTATCCCAGATAGCAAGGATAACTTGCTACAAACCAAGCTCGCTGGTCTGGAGACTTGCTGGAATTGTGCAACAAAATTGTGAAGCTTGGCAAGTCTGCAATAGTTTAGCAAGTCATTTTCAAACTTGCAGCTCAATTGCTTGCTATCTGAGAAATAGAAGTCCATAGGCATCTGTCACCTTTATAAACATAAACGTGTTGTTTTTTTAAATTGAGTTTTATTAGTTTGTTACTTTGTTTCACTTGTTATTTTGTTATGGATTGATTATAAATAGACCCTTATAACTTTAATTTGATACATGCAACTCCAATTATCCCCTTTCTACACTCTGATTGGCCAGCGTCGCAGCCCACCTGTCCCGGTGATTGGTCCTGATCCATGTTATCATTATATAGCCCCTCCTCCGCCACGCTGGGCTCCTGTCAGAAATGCTTCCGACAGGATTGGCTAGTAGCAAAGACTGCATATGGAAAATAACCAATATGGTAAGACCAGACGTCTAAACCCCGCCTATTGAAACGCCAGTGCTTGTTTACATCGCGCTGGCCACTCCCCACCCTGCTTTCTGATTGGCTAGGCGGGTCAGATGGCCGCAGCCTATTGGCTAGTCTGGAGTAAGAACTGTCCGGCGCTCGGTTCTGAGTTTCAGTCACCAAGATGTCGCAACTCGCTATCCTGTTCTACTGCGGAGCGTCCGCTCTCTTCTTCACCCTGCTGGGGGCGCCGCCGTCCGGAGCGCACATCCCCCCTCATAATGAGACCGCCCGGGTGGCGCGCTTCGTGGCCCACCACTGCGATTGGGGCGCCCTGGCCACCATCTCCAGCCATGAGCCCGTGAGAGGCCAGCCCTTCGCCAACGTCTTCTCGATCAGCGACGGGCCCCGGGGCCACAGCAGCGGCGTCCCCTACTTCTATCTGACCGCCATAGAAATCTCCGTGCAGGACCTGCAGGTGAGGTTACCATGGGGATCGCGCGGAGAGGGAGGGGGGCATGACCTGCCGCGGACCCGTTCCGGCCTATGCTGTAGCTGGAGATCACGTGGCCCACCGCGGACCCTGACAGTCCATTGAAATGTTCTTCTTTAAATAATGGCCCAGCTGAGGGAGACCACGTGACCCTCAGCTGGGCAATACGGGTGAGGCCCGTGTGACATGTCTGGCGCCCTTCAAGAGAACCTGTCAGGTCTCTGAAGAATGGAAAGAGTAGTGTATGTGCCTTTCCAGCCCTGAGTTTTCATATTACTACGTAACATTTGACACATCCGGAAGTGTCCATTTCTCTCCCCCCCGAGTGCAGTGGTTCCATCTGCAGACCCCTAGATTATTACAGGGCACAGTAATGACGAGGGGGGGTACATCTTGTTTCAGCACAGCTACCTGACTTCCTGGAAGGCTTTGCAGGCCTGTGCTTACTGGGCATGTACACCTGTGTGCCTTCCAGCGCAGGGAGACGCCATATTGTTGGTCATCATCCAGTAATAATACTCTGCTAGTGCAGGTGGGTTAGCTGGGTTTGCATTGTCCTTATGGCCTCGTCTTCAGGCAGCTGAACCTTTAACAGCAGCCACCTCTTCCACAACCAAGGTAAGGGGCCATATTTTCAGATCCCTTTTAAGGGAATTCCCAACTTTTACAAAATAAATAATACTAATAAGCATTCATCTTCATAAAATAAAAAATGTGCATGTATTGTTTATTTGCATTGGAGCCAGTAAAGCATTGCAACTTCAATCAGAGGATCACGGGTGCAATGCTCTGGCTCCTGCAGACCCTTCCTCTCCTCGGTATGGACATTCAGTAACATAGCAGGGAGAAAGAATGACTGGACTACAAGTGAGGCCATGTCACCACACTTTTCTATTCTATTGAGAACTACAGGTACATCTGCCGCGGTTGTTGATGGTTGATGGCTGGGTAGTTCTTCCTTTCACAGATCCTGTCACAGTAGCATAAGACCTACACGTGAAGAATCTCTTAACTACTGACGTCACCGGGTCACACCACGTGCGTTCTTCCTTGTAAACGCTGATTATCGCACAGGGACATCTGTAGGGAATTCTGCTTATCTCATTTTGTGTCACTGGGCCTGTGTTGGGTGTATTTTCTTTTTTTTTTTACCCTGGTACACATTTTTAAAGATAAACTCCAAGATATGCAAATGTTCTGTGAGAGTTCTTCCTTGAATCATGGTGAGCTTTGTGTATTTCTTCCAGATCTGTGCAGTAATCCGGTGTGAAACATGGAGCTTCCTGTAATGAAGACCGGTCACTGCTGCTCTCTCTGCTTGTGCAGGGTGGCTGGTCATGTCTTTGCCCCCTCCTGTAATAAAGACCGCTTACTGCAGCTCTCTCACCTTGTGCATGGAGACTGGTCTTGCCTCCGCCCCCTCCTGTAATAAAGACCGGTCACTGCTGCTCTCTCACCTTGTGCAGAGTGACCAGTCTTGTCTCCGCCCCCTCCTGTAATAAAGACCGCTCACTGCTGCTCTCTCTCCATGTGCAGAGTGACTGGTCTTGTCTCCGCCCCCCTCCTGTAATAAGGACCGCTCAATGCTGCGCTCTCTCCTTGTGCAGGGTCACTGGTCTTGTCTCCGCCCCCCTCCTGTAATAAAGACCGCTCACTGCTGCTCTCTCTCCATGTGCAGAGTGACTGGTCTTGTCTCCGCCCTTCTGTAGTTTCCTGTAGTGGGTGTAGCTCCGCTCCTGTGTATGCTGCCTTACATTAGTGTCAGGGAAGTAAAATTAGAGAAAGCTAAGTATACAATTTTCCATTTTATTGTCATTTAAGACACTTTGAGAAATGAGGGTGGCCTAAAAAAGCTTTTTATGCCTCCTAGGAAGTGTTTAAAGCAGAACTCTGGGGGAAAAAGAATTCGTAACCCTTTCAGTGGGGCTATCACCGCACACGCTGCAAGGGTTAAGTGTTTTTTTTTGTCTAGGGTCAAAAATAAAAAAGTTATACTCACCCGATCCTCAGAGTTGACTTGCTCTCCGACCGGTCCCTGGAGCCTCCCCCCCGCCAATGCAGTGGTCTAAGGTCCCTGAGTCATCGTGTCTACTACACATACCATCGCCTGAGTGGTGGGGGAGAGAGGCTCCAGGGACTAGTCTAAGAGCAAGCCGACTCCGAGGATCGGTGAGTATAACTTGGTTATTATATTAACATAAACATTGTACCAACTGAGCATTTAAACGATGCTCAATTGGTACTAAGAAAACATCCCCCACACCGTTAATACAAGGCCGGATGGATCCATGCTTTCATGTTGTTTACGCCAAATTCTGAGCCGACCATCTGAATGTTGCAGCTGAAATGGAGACTCATCAGACCAGCCAACGTTTTTCCAATCTTCTATTGTCCAATTTTGGGGAGCCTGCGCGAATGGCAGCCTCCGTTTCCTGTTCTTAGCTGACAGGAGCGGCACCCGGTGTGGTGCAGTCCACTTGCTTTGCCATGTTCACCTTTCTTCATCATTCTGATGCTCGGTTTGAACTTCAGCAGATCTGGACCATGTCTACCTCCCTGAATGCATTGAGTTGCTGCCATGTGATTGGCTGATTAGATATTTACATTAACAAGCAGTTGAACAGGTGACCCTAATGAAGTGGCCAGCGGGTGTACAGTATGTGCAGCAGAAGTGACACTGAAGTCTGTTTTCATGCACGTTTTCTGGTCACGTTTCCAGCGAGTCAGCAGATGACTCAGCAGAATTCAGGGTTGTGAAATGCAGATCTACATCATGTGAGTCTGTGAAAGCAGCTTCTACTTCTCTATCTGCTGTGAGATCCTGAATGGTCCTTTCACCCCCTTAATGCGGTACTCTGCAGCGGTGAGATCTTGAACGGAGGTCATAGGGTCCTTTCCCCCCATAATGCGGTACACTGCAGCGGTGAGATCCTGAACGGAGGTCATAGGGTCCTTTCTCCCCATAATGCGGTACACTGCAGCGGTGAGATCCTGAACGGAGGTCATAGGGTCCTTTCTCCCCATAATGCGGTACACTGCAGCGGTGAGATCCTGAACGGAGGTCATAGGGTCCTTTCTCCACATAATGCGGTACACTGCAGCAGTGAGATCCTGAACGGAGGTCATAGGGTCCTTTCTCCCCATAATGCGGTACACTGCAGCGGTGAGATCCTGAACGGAGGTCATCTGGTCTTTCCCCCCATAATGCGGTACTCTGCAGTGGTGAGATCCCGAACGGAGGTCGTAGGGTCCTTTCGCCCCCATAATGCGGTACACTGCAG